TTTGGTAATAAGATGCTTCATTACCCTTTTTACCTTACTAGGGGTTTATGGGTTACTTCATATGTGGGTGTGTTTGTTAAATATAAAAATGCAAAGTTCTTGTTTTTCCTGCCCATTTTGCCAAAAGGACTGTGACCCTTTTACTTCTGCCTGCCTTTCAGAGGTATATTTTATGAATTTTTTTTAATCTTTTATAGTACTAATACTTACCTTTTTTATTGGTTTGTTAATAAAAGATAGTGTATATAAAAAAGCTGTTATATCCCTGTCACATAGTGATTTTAGTTCTTAAGTTTTTTTATGGACACATTTGGGGAATGTAGCATCAGTATGATGTTCTGTGGCTGTCAATAAGAGGGATAGGTTTTTTGTATGGGTTTGTTTTTTGTTTTTCATAAGATCATAGAGAAATGTATTTGGTTTTCTCATACTAACAAGAAAATATAAGCAGTAAAGGATTCTCCTAGTGGTTTTATTTATGATGTACTTCAAGTACATGGTAGAAATTTCAGGTATTTTTGAAAAAAGTTTTTCTTTTATATTGTCTGTGCTGCATGTTTAGTCAAATCACATTTTAAAAGTAATCTACTAGTTTTTGTTTACATATTTTCTGCTTGGGTTCATACTGACTCCAGTCTAATGGGGGAAGGTTTTGTATGTGAATACAGCACGGTCTTCCCTCTACCCGGAGTTGCATCAAGAAGTCAAGAATAAACATGGAAAAAAAAAAAAGCAGTGTGATGGTAATTTTATGTCTACTAAATATAATAAAATAGGCGTTTTAATTTCAATGTTTTTTAAGTTTTCTTTTTTTGGTACTGGGGATTGAACCCAGAGGTGCTTAACCGCTGAGCCACATCCCCAGCCCTTTTTTATATTTTATTTAGAGACAGGGCCTCACTAAGTTGCTGAGGCTGGCTTTGAACTAGTGATCCTCCTGCCTCAGCCTCCTGAGATGGTGGGATTGCAGGCATGTGCTACCACACCTGGCAATTTTATTTTCTTAATCAGTGCATTTTTACAGAACTTTTCAAAAATATTAGTCTCTGGATTGGAGAATTTTTGAAAACCTGATTCTCCACTCTTTATAGTGTGAGAAGCATTGAGCACCAGAGAACAGTATAGTTTATCAAGCAGCATGTTTGTGGAACAATTCATATAAACTCAGTTGAAAAATCAAAACACTATTTTCTCTGACCCAGTCCAGGATAACAAGAAAATCAACTGACTCTTTTTTTTTTTTTTTTTTTTTAGTACTAGGGATTAACCCAGGGGTGCTCTACCTCTAAGCCCTATCCTCAACCCTTTATTTTTTGTTTTGAGACAGGGTCCTGCTAAGTTGCCTGGGCTGGCCTGGAACTTGCAGTCATCCTTTCTTAGCTTCCCAATTGCAGGGCTTAAGGGTGTGCACCACTATGCCCAGCACCACGAAGTCTCTAGGTAGTTTGTTAGTCTTTATAAAAACTCCCTGAGGACTGTGGACACTTGTTTCCCTTGTAGCCTGTGGCTTTATCTTGGGACATGGTTGGCCATCCCTTAAATTCATCCAGTAGAGAAATCATTTTCTTTTCTTAATGTTACAGCATAGGTGAGTGACATTTAATTATTGCTTCCAAGTTGTTTTTATTAATGTGGGTGTTGTCTTTTCTGTTCTCTGCAGTATTGACGTGGGTGTCATTAAGGGGAAATTCATTATGTTAGTGTTTCTATTTTTCAGATAATTGAAGTGTACCCAATTGAGAAATTTGGCCAGGTATATTCTTTGCCTAATTTAGAGTAACTTTAAATGCATTTTTAAAACCCCTACCATGTTCAAAATAATGCTTATTTATATAAAGTTAAATTTGGATCTACATGTTATTTCTAAGATGATTATTTCAGATTTTAGACTTTTGGGAATGCTATTTGTTTGCATGTAATTCTGTTCTCTGTTACTGGCATCATAGTTATAATAAAATAATTAAATGAAGGACCTTGGAATATAATAAAGAAGTCTCAGGTTCTGGACATTTTAAGTCCTTGGATTGTGGAGCAGACGCTTGAGCCACCTGGACATACAGTATTCTGCTGGTTGGGGGTAGAGGTCTTCTGGATGGCCACTCAGTTCTTCCCACTCTTTGATATTAACCTCTTTCACATATTTCAAAACAAAACAAAAAAGATCTGACTTAAAAATGCAATTTTCTATTAGGAATTTATACTATGTATGACTTCAGAGGATCCATGTGGAATCACTTACCTCAGGTGTGGAACCATTTATCTTGTGTGCTGAGTTTCTGAATGTGGGTATTTCCAAAATAGCTGTAATGGCAGCACTAACTGTTAACCTTTGGTGCCCATGTAATATGATCCTGTCCTGTAGCTCTTTCTATGTCTTAGCCAGAAGGCCAGCTCTAGGTTATTGGCATTCCAGGTTAATACAGAGGGCCAGGCAGGAAGGGGATCACAGCTCAGGGGTCTCTTTCAAGAAAGTAGGGTGGGAACTCCATGGCATTGCTGTACTAAAGGCCATTCCTCTGCTGTGCGGATGCCGGTCAGCTGTCTGGGGATCAGAAGGTGTTGGGATTGAGATGGCCAGGCATTTCTGTCCCAAGAGCTCTGCTCCTAGAGATGTAGAGTGTTGGGGAAGATGAAAAGAAGCAACTGTCGTTTTCTACATGTGGCTAGAATTCTTTTGCCACATGGAAAGGGGTCTGAGTCCTTCTGCTTGGTGTCAGGCTTGGCAGTCCTTGTTCTATGTGAGCACTGTCACAGAGGAAGGAGCATGGCGGCTGCCAAAGCCCGTCATGTAGCAAGTTTGTCTTTCCTCAGAAGTCTAGTTCTGAAACCAAAATGTGCAAGGAGCTGTGTCTCTCTCTAACTGCTCTGGGCCTACTCTGGACCAAGTTCCTGTTCTGTCATCTTCACCAATCAAAATTTGGAGGTAGTGCCCCTGTTTCATTTGTCAGCGGGAATCAGCCTCAGGCACGGCATTATAAGTACTTGGTCCACAGATGTGTGTGGCAGTGATTTCTGTTGAAGCAAGGTAGAAAGAAAAAAAAACAATACTGTTGTCTGGTATGTTGGCAAAAAATACTGAACATGTATTTCTAGTTTAAAGGAGACCTTAAAAACAAAAGCTTGAATGTTTTTCCCTCAGCAGTGTTTAACTTCCAAATGTGTATAATTTTCTTAGATTGATAAAGGAAGCTGGCAAACAGGATCCAGAGCTGGCTTATATCAGCAGCAACTTTATAACTGGACATGGCATTGGAAAGAATCAGCCTCGAAACAAACAGATGGAAGCAGAGTTCAGAAAACAGGAAGAGGTAACTTAAATCAAAATAGCTGTACGATAGCAATTTTCAGAACATAATACAGGCAAACTTTGCTGTAGCAACTCCTTTCTTCAGAGTTCTCTAGCAATTTCTTTTTCTCTGTAATAGAGGACACTTGTTTATTTATAGAACAGCTGTCCCCTCTGAGGTGCTCTATGGTGGTATATAGAATAGCCGTCTGGTAATTCAATTTAGTGTCTTCATTGTTGTCAACCAGTTCATTTTCCTTTATTGGATTGATGTCACAGCTGCATCTCACAGAAAGAATAAAGCCTGGATAACCCTTACTCCCCTTGGCTCCGTATAGCTAGGAAGCAGCACCTGAAATCTTTTCCTAGAAAATGTTTTCTTTTTTTAAATATTTATTTTTTAGTTGTAGGTAGACACAATTTTTTATATTTCTGTGTGGTGCTGAGGATCGAACCCACTGCCTCACGCATGCTAGGCAAGCTTTCTACCTTTGAACTACAACCCCAGCCTCTCCCCCTTTTTTTTTTCCATTTGGAGTCCTGCCTTGGTTGAATACTTTGAAAAATAATACTATATTTTGTAGATTTTAGTTTAAAATTTGTTGTGCTTTTAAAGGTTGAATATAGAAGACAGCTTTTTAAAGATTCTGAAAGTTAATACAATATTCAGGCTTATAAGAAAAACCTTGTATTTAAAGTTCTTATTTAAGTTAAACTTAGCAGACTAACTGTTGTTAAAGGCATTTTATCACAGCTTTTTGATAGTATTCAGGGCTCAGGGAGTCCAGAACGAGACAAATAGATGTGACTGTCTCAAAACCAACTACGTTGTTATTTCACTTACCCTAGACTGGGGAGTGATAAGATTTTAAATCTCACATGAGAAAGCTTTCATTTTGTTTTAATCCTGACTTTTTAAATGGGAAATTTCGAAACGTGCTAGAAGGTAAGCAATGCTCTGCTTGTAACTTTTAATTTTAAGTGGATTAGCGATTTCAGTGATGCAGTTTTGATATTGGAGGTAGTGCCCCCGTTTCATTTGTCACACAGTGGGATGTTAGCAGTGGTCTCACAGACATGAAGTGTCAGCATGCAGAATCAGAATAGCTAGAGGACTCTAGAAGTGGTTTCATTTGGTCACTTAGTTTGTTAGACCTACTTGTCAATAAAGAAGACAGCCCTTTCAACTTGAAGACTTGCTTGCTATGATTTGTGACATGGGTACTTCTCAAAAGTAGAAAGGCATTTTGATTTTCCAGTCATTTTCAGTTGAAAACTCCTGTCATTAAAGTTTCTGTGTCTATGTAGCCATGCATATGGGTTTCTGTGATGCTCTTATCTTACTTAGGTGCCCAGCGTGTATGTCAGACATGGACATTATTAATTATTGTTATTATATTGTTTTCTTGAGAAAATTTCTTAGAATTGCTTTTCTTGGTGGATTTTTTTCAGGTACTTAGGAAATTTCGAGCACATGAGACAAACCTGCTTATTGCAACGAGTATTGTAGAAGAGGGTGTTGATATTCCAAAATGCAACTTGGTGGTTCGTTTTGATTTGCCCACAGAGTATCGATCCTATGTTCAATCTAAAGGAAGAGCAAGGGCACCGATCTCTAATTACATTATGTTAGCAGATACAGACAAAAGAAAAAGTTTTGAAGAAGACCTGAAAACCTACAAAGCAATTGAAAAGGTAAGGTCAAAAAGTTAATGTGGTGTCTTCTAGATAAAAATGACTTATCCACAGAGAATAGTGTGATCAAGGGGTTGCAATGCATATATTACAAGAAATTTTAGAATATCTATTACAAAGACCCATTAGTATTTTGTGATGTGTTTGGAAGTTCACAATAAAATACCAGTGAAAAGTATTATACAGATTTAATGCAATTCCTATTAAAATCCCAATGACGTTCTTCATAGAAATAGAAAAGGCAGTCGTAAAATTTATTTGGAAAAATAAGAGACCCAAAATAGCTAAAGCAATCTCCTTAGCAAAAAAAAGTAAATCAGGAGGCATCACAATACCAGATCTTAAGCTGTACTACAGAGCTATAGTAACAAAAACATCATGGTATTGGCACCAAAATAGACTTGTAGACCAGTGATACAGAATAGAGCACACAGAGACAAACCTACATAAATACGGTTATGTCATACTAGACAAAGGTGCCAAAAACATGCACTGGAGAAAAGATAGCCTATTCAACAAATGGTGCTGGCAAAACTGGAAACCCATATGTAGCAAAATGAAATTAAACCTCTATCTCTCACCCTGCACTAAAATAAACTCAAAGTGGATCAAAGACTTAGGCACTAGAACAGAGACCTTGTGCCTAATAGAAGAAAAAGTAGGCCCAGATCTTCACCATGTTAGCCTAGGATCTGACTTCCTAACAAGACTTCAGAAGTGCAAAAAGTAAAATCAAGAATCAATAAATGGGATGCATTCAAATTAAAAAGCTTTTTTTCAGCAAAGGAAACAAACAATAACGTGAGGAGAGAGCTTACAGATTGGGAGAAAATCTTTACCATATGCACCGCTGATAAAACATTAATCTCTGGGCTAGATAAAGAACTCAAAAAACTTAAAACCAAATAACCCAGTCAGTAAATGAGCTAAGGAACTGAACAGACACTTCATAGAAGATGAAATACAGTTGATCAACAAATACATGAAAAAGTGTTCAACATCTCTAGCAATTAGAGAAATGCAAATCAAAACTATACTAAGATTTCATCTCACTCCTGTCAGAATGGCAGTCATCAAGAATACAGACAATGATAAATGTTGGCAAAGATGTGGGGAAAATGGTATACTCATACACTGCTGGTGGGACTGCAGATTGGTACAACCACTATGGAAAGCAGTATGGAGATTCTTTAGAAAACTTGGAATGGAACCATCATTTGATCCAGCTATCCCACTCCTCACTTTACACCCAAAGGACTTAAAATGCAGCCATGTCAATGTTTATAGCAGCTCAATTCACAATAGCTAACCCATGGAACCAACCTAGGTGTCCTTCAATAGATGAATGGATAGAGAAAATGTGTGTGTGTGTGTGTGTGTGTGTGTGTGTATGTGTATGTATCTATCCAATGGAATATTACTCCGCTTTGAAGAAGAATGAAATTATGGCATTTGCCAGTAAATAAATGGAGTTGGAGAATATCATGCTAAATGAAATAAGCCAGTCCCCAAAAACTAAAGGCTGAATGTTTTCTCTAATATGTGGGTGCTAATTCACAATAAGGCTGGGGGCACTAGAGAGAATAGTGTTACCTTAGATTAAGGAGCCGGAAGAAAAAAAAAATACCAATGAAAATGTTCATAGGGATCATTGAGGAAGGTTGTGGGAAGGGTACAAGGTAGTTACTGTTTGTAAGTTGTGGAGGGAGGTGAGGAATGCATATGCATTTGTGCAACACTGGTGGTCATGTGTGAGTGAGACCTGATACTGTGTGGCATGTGTCTCCTTATGATTAGAGCTGGGATGGATTCTGCACGAGAGTTCTCTTTAGCAGGTGACTTAAAGAGTTTTGAAATATGTTTAGGAGAGATGGATATGTCCCGTTAACAGAGCTTTGTGGGTATTGAGGAAGACAACTCGCATACATCAGAGAAGACATTTGTTCTTATCTCAGTTCTGTTTTTGAATGTCAGATTTTGAGAAACAAATGTTCCAAGTCTGTTGATACTGGTGAGGCTGATGTTGATCCTGTTGTGGATGACGACGATGTTTTCCCACCGTATGTGTTGAGGCCTGATGATGGGGGTCCCCGGGTAACAATCAACACAGCCATTGGACACATCAATAGGTATGGAGTCAGGTCATTTGTGTGGAAACGTGTGAGTATTGCAAGACTTAAGTCTCAGCCTGTTAAGTATGATTTTTATTTATTTATTTATTTTTACATTTTGAAATCATCAGTCTTATGAGTTATAGTATTTTGATGTCAGAAAAGTTGTTTTTTTCATGCAAAAGCAGGATTGTAATAAATACGCAATAGTCATTGATAAGGTTGACATGGTAACATGCTTCTTTTAATTAGATAATTTTATTAGATGTGGTGATTTTTTCTAAATCTTGAGATTTGTTGTTTTGTCCTATAAATGTTGGCTAATGTTGACTTCATTAGTGATTAAGCAAAATTATTAATAAATTTATATTTTTGAATATATTCTAATTTACTTTGTCCTGAGCTGATATCATGTCTAAGAATTAAGAAAGACAGATACATACCTAGATATATATCAGGACAAATTTTATTCAGAGGTAAAATAAATTTTGATGTCAAAAATTCCAATTTGGCCAGTGGGAACCCTTCAAGCTAGCTTCTCTGTCTTTAAACATGTCACCGTTGTTCTTGAATGCTTCCTTCTTTTCTGGCACAAGATGTTCTAGTCTCAAGTGGAATAGATTCCTGCCCCAACCCTGATCCTCTGGCTGGTTTCCATGGGCCCTGGCTTCTTTTAGTGGAGAATGAGTTGTGTGTAGAAATCAAGATCTGGACCATAGGTGTGTTCATTGACACTAGGGTGTTAATGTTGCCAGACTTTTTAGTGGACAGGGCTGTTTTGCCTGTTTACATTATGTACATGTTCATATCTGTTTGTGTTCAAATACATGTTGACGCCTCCATTTACTTCTGTTTCTGATCACCTATCTTTTGGTACGTCTACTTTCATGTGACACTAAAGAATTTGTTCTAGATTTCTTCTTGTCTTTGTACCTCCCTTCTCGGATGGTGAGGAGTCTGGTTTTGTGGTCCTCAAACATAAACATCTATGTGCTCTGTCAGCCTGCCTGGAGCCAGTCTCCCCACTCTGTGGTGTGCCCTGACCGCACACTTTGTACCTTCTCAGGGCTGGTGTTATTCCAGCACCCTCCTTAATTAGGCCTGGCTTCCTGAGCTGCTCTGTCACTCTTCTTGCTTTGATGCTCTTCTTACGTCAGGCTATCTGTGTCCTTTTTTTGATGTCTTCCTTACATCCTAATAGTTGCTGGCAAATGTAAGATTACTAAGGAGCAAACACTGGCAATATTTCCTGTTCACAGATTCAGAAGAAAGCTTTGTGTGCTGTGCAAAATGGTCACACTAGACACATATGGCTATTTAAATTCAAGGTTCAGTTTAAATTAAAGTAAGATTAAAACTTTTCCCAGCTGGATGTGGTGGCACATGCTTGTAATTCCAGTGACTCAGGAGGCTAAGTAAGGCAGGAGGATCATAAGTTTGGGGCCCTAATCAATTTAGTGAGAGCCCCCTAACCCTCGTCTCAAAATTAGAAAGTGCTGAATGATGTGACTCAGTGAGTAAGCACTCCTGGGTTTAGTCCTCAGTAACACCCACACACACAAAAGTGTAGTTCCCTAGTTGCACACATCAATTTCAAGTTCTCAGTTGTATCTTATTGAAAGTTTGAAGCAATGAAGTACATACTTCACATGGAAATGCCAATCCAGTGAACAGGAAGAAGGACATGAGAAATCAAAATTCAATTGCGAATATCAGTACAAGTTTTTCTATTTTTCATTGTATATTCAGCTTTATGATTTCTTTTTGTTCACAGATACTGTGCTAGATTACCAAGTGATCCGTTTACTCATCTAGCTCCCAAATGTAGAACCCGAGAGTTGCCTGATGGTACATTTTATTCAACTCTTTACCTGCCAATCAACTCACCTCTTCGAGCCTCCATTGTTGTGAGTTAAAAAAAAAAAAGGATTGTGTCTTTTAAAGTATGTCATTAGTGGATTTTTTTCCTAGCTTCTCTAAAACATACAAGTTATACATTTGGCTTTAAAGTCTTCTTTGAAAAGTAGACTCAATTCTCTTTTGCAGTCAGCTACATATTAAGGTTATTCAGATTTTGAATAGACTGTACAGTGTACAGGCTCTTAGAATTGTACTGGGGACCTCTGCAGTTCCCTGAGGTCTACTGTGCAGACACTTCTGACTGAATCATTCAGTTGTGACCTCGAGACTCACCGTGACACAGAACTCATTACATGTAGCTAAGCTACTCTAGTTGTCTTGTTAGCTCAGAAATCTGCCTTTTGTAAATCTGTTGGTCCCAGCATTCATTTGCAGATATTGCAAGACGATGGCTTTATATTGTACATAGAAAGCTGCTGAGTACTGCTAATCTGTGTTATATCCCAGTATACCTGTATTTTTGTATATTTTTGTAGATTAGTAAAATTAGGTACTTTAAAATCTTAATGAAATTTATTAAAATAGTTAGGACTTAGTTTTTCTCGGGCAGAGTTTTTAAAGGTGAACATTTCAAGTATGGAGATTAGGATATTTAAAAGCATAGTGGTGTTTTTAAATATGAAGAACTTTTTTTCTGGTAAATTGAACTTTAAAGATCCTGGGGCAGAGATTTCATAGTGTTTCATGTGCTGGTGATAATATGGCCTCAGGCATGTGCAGTGGAAAAGTTTTTTGTCATTTCTAGGGCCCACCAATGAGCTGTGTGCGATTGGCTGAAAGAGTCGTAGCTCTCATTTGCTGTGAAAAACTGCACAAAATTGGTAAGTAAACATGTTTGAAAAACATATGTAAATAAAAATAAGTTTTAAACATTGTAAAAAAGAAGTACATCAGGACTTGACAGGTTTCTGGGGAGTTTGTAGAGCTGTGAATATGGTGCTCTTGGTGAGCTTTTATAGATATAAATGCAAATATAACTGGAAAGCCTGCCGCGTCACAGGAGCTCTCCATAGCCTAGCTGTGAACAAATGCTACTTATTTGCTTCCTTTTCTGACTCCTGTTAAGGACATAAAAGTTAGGGTTAGGGTTGTGTGTGGAGGTGTAGGGGTGTGTGTGTGTGTGCGCGCGCGCGCGCGTGCCAGAGAGAAGGGGGGGAGGGGAGGGAGGGAGAGGGAGAGAGAGGCTAGTCTCTCATATTCATCTTTACTGTGTTGAGTGTAATTATTTTGTTTTTAAATGGGAAGACTTGTTCTCTGTGGCCTTTTGTTTAGAAGCGATATGTGCTATTTTCCCGTTCATTTTTATTCCCCCAGTGAAGGGGATTGGAACCCCGGGCCTTTTGCATGTTAGGTGAGCCTCTATCACTGAGCTACAATCCCAGCCTTAGGTGTTTTTAGTTTTAAGACTTAGAATTTGCAGTTCTGCTCATATTGAGTCTATGGATGTCAAAGTGGACTGCCTGACGTCTCACCTCTGGTTGCTTTGACCTTGTTAAAGGTAGAAGTGCTTTAGTTCTCACTGCTTTTTCACTGACTTCTTAGCATAGTACTGTTTTAGGTTATTTACTAGCCAATTAGCAAAATCTGGGTTTTTATATTAACTCTTTTTTGTTTTCTCAGGTGAACTGGATGAACATTTGATGCCAGTTGGAAAAGAAACTGTTAAATATGAGGAAGAGCTTGATTTACATGATGAAGAAGAAACCAGTGTTCCAGGAAGACCAGGTTCCACAAAGCGAAGGCAGTGCTACCCAAAAGCAGTTAGTATTGGTTAGAACTGAATAAAAATTTGGCCTTTCTGACTTGATTTCCTGTTGTATCAACTCTAAATTTCTCTGCATGGTTGTTTTTCCAGTCTTGTGATTTGACCCACTTAGTGGATATCAGCTCATTTCTTCGATTCATAACTTCTCTCAGATTAGCTTGTTTCACTTTAGATATTATTTGTTTTATTCCTTTTGGGTTATTGTTTTTTCCTCAAAAGGATTCTTGGACTCATTAGAATGAGTGTATTTTAGTCAGAGACTCCATTGGGTTATCCTTTATGGTGTGAGTCTTGCCCTGCTTGCCGCTGGCACTGAGACAAGAGGTGTGTGTGAGGCAGTGGGCAGGCGAAAAGTGCACAGGGTGGGAGCATGGTCTCAGCCAGGAGGTCAGGTGTGGGCCTCTGAGGTCAGAACAGGTGGTTTCTGTGGACTGTCTCCTGGTCTGTGACATCTGGCAGATTCACACACTAAAACCTCCGAGTCTGACTTCTGGGTATAGCCATACTTGTTAAAGTATTTATTTTTAAAATACTTATGTTTTTATGTCTTAAGAACATCAAACAAAAGCAAAATTTTGCTGTATACTTTTATCTTAGTCTAAATGTATGGTTCTTTTGCTTTTACAGGTTTTATTTAGTTTCACTTTTAACAAATTTATACCCAACTAAGCATTTTCAAGATTGACAGCCACATTGGTTTTGTAAAACTCATTAGCTTTATCCATTTTTGTGAAAGCTCGTTTCCTTCATACTGAGTCTTCCTGTTGGACTAGTTTCGTATGGTGGATCCCAAAAATGATGAGTGTTTTGAGAGCGCAGTACTGCCCTGTGAACTGTTGACCAGACTTCTGCTGTCCCTTGTCCAGCATTTCTGTACCTTTTAACTATAGATGCAGTGATTTGTCATTATCTCAGAAACTGCAGGACTCTAGTCTATAGGCTGTATTTATAGTGAAAGCTTAGGAACAATTGAGATAATTTAATTATGGCTCACTCTCATAATGAGATAGCCATTAAAAATGATTGTGGTGATTCATTGAAAAATACTCTCATGTCTTAACTGGGGATAAATCAGATTATTTTACACACAGACACACACTCATGCTCACAGTCTGTTGTGTGATTTTATTTGTATTGAAAAATAGGAGTGTGTATATGTCTATATATGTTTATGCATAGAAAAAAGTTTAAGGAATTATGCAGTATATCAAAATATGACTGAAGATTCTTTTAAAAAAATACTGTTGATCTAATGTAGTACATTAGTGGTGGTATTGCAGTGATTCTTGATTCCTCCTTCCTTTCTCCCTTTCTCCTTCCTTCCCTCTGTTGCTCCCTGTTGTGTTACTGGGATGGAACCCATGGCCTCACGCATAAAGCTCACTACCACTGAACTGTGTCCCAACCCTAGTATGCTAGGAAGAATTTTCTTGCCAACACCTAGAATAGAGGCTGTTTATACTTGTGCATGATACTCAATGTTTGTTTCCAACTCTAGATTCCAGAGTGTTTAAGGGATAGTTATCCCAAACCCGAGCAGCCCTGTTACCTGTATGTGATAGGAATGGTCTTAACTACTCCGTTACCTGATGAACTTAACTTCAGAAGGCGGAAGCTCTATCCCCCCGAAGACACCACACGATGCTTTGGGATACTGACAGCCAAACCCATACCTCAGGTAGACCTTCTATCATGACTGTCGGGTTGAAAATATCTTAGATTTTGCTTTTTTAAAAAAGAAATAGGGAAAGGAAAATTAGTAGTAAGTGTCTTCGTTAACTCAGCATATTTAACATTTAAAGAATGGGGTATCTCTCAAGACTGGGGTATCTCTCCTACTGATAGAAGGCGTCATTTTCTTTTCAAGTTAACTATATTGGGATAAAGACTTAATTGACTTTGAAGGGTGCTTTTGTTTTCTTTTTGCTAAGATTCCACACTTTCCTGTGTACACACGCTCTGGAGAGGTCACCATATCCATTGAGTTGAAGAAGTCTGGATTCACGTTGTCTCTGCAGATGCTCGAGTTGATTACAAGGCTTCACCAGTATATATTTTCACATATTCTTCGGCTTGAAAAACCTGCACTAGAATTTAAACCTACAGACGCTGATTCAGCATACTGTGTTCTACCTCTTAACGTTGGTAAGAAGGGCCCAGGCTTGAAGTGTAGCCACAGAAAGAAATGTTTTGCTGATAATTAGTTAATCAGATATACTATAGCAATCTCTCACTTTGATGACTCTACATTAGGTACATGTTAGTACACAGCTCAAGTCAGAAAGAATCTTAAATGTGTTATATTTTAATAAGCTAAAGAGTCTATTTTCTTTCCTAAGTTAATGACTCCAGCACTTTGGACATTGATTTTAAATTCATGGAAGATATTGAGAAATCTGAAGCGCGCATAGGCATTCCCAGCACAAAGTATTCAAAAGAAACTCCCTTTGTTTTTAAATTAGAAGATTATCAAGATGCAGTTATCATTCCAAGGTAGGTGCATAAGCGGGAGGGAAAGCAGTGTGGTGCTTCGTGAACTCAGCAGTGGCGCTGAATGACCCTTTACGGTAGAAGGGGCTATTTTCTCTGGGCTACTTGCTTTACAGAAACCTAAGCATTGTTAGTAAAGAGATTTTACTTATGAGGGTCAGAACATCTAAATAATGTTGATTGTCTTTCTTCCTAAAGCCTCTATCCTTTTAATTTCCTCAAGTCTTATATAATTTGATCACATATAATAGTTTTGCTTCTTAAAATTTATATAAGTTATATAAATGTTATGTAAGCTCATGAAGATAAGAAGTCAGAATACTTTTTTCTTATTTTGTGAAAATTTAAGAATGAACTTTTGGGACAATAAAATTAAATGTAGGAACTTTTCAAAAATTAGAGTACTTGTATAATTTAATCTTTGTTTGATTTTTTTTTTGGGGGGGGGTTGTGTGCCTTGAAAGCCATGTTTTAAATGACAGTTATCACCAGTCTATCACTGTCATAGGTAAAATAGTAACTCATTTTATGTGGAAAATATCTCACAGTTAGCATTAGTGATATTCAAAGTATTCATTAACCTGAGCATGTGAGTACACACCCTATAATCCCAGTAACTCAGGAGGCTGATACAGGAGGATTGCAAGTTCTAGGCCAGCCTCAGCAACTTAGTGGGACCCTGTCTCAAAATGAAAAGTAAAAATTAGGGCTCATTTCCCAGTACCACAAACAAACAAGAAACCAATATTCACTTAGTTGTAAGTTTTTGTAAGCTTTCTCTTTTGATTATATTGATGAAATAGATTCTCAAAGATACCATGTATCATTCATGTATTATCAAAGTGTAGATATTAAGAACAAAAATAACAAAATAGGAGAGAGCAGAGAGTCGTTTTTAATTGATAAAAATAGATTTTTTAGGGGCAGGGGTTGTGGCTCAGTGGTAGAGTGCTTGCCTAGCATGTGTGAGGCACTGGGTTCGATTCTCAGCACCACATATAAATAAATGAATAAAATAAAGATCCATCAACATCTAAAAAAATATATTGTTTCCTGTTCAGTTGAAATACATCCTTTGGAATTGATGTTTCATTTCTTTTTAACCTTTTGAATTCTTAATCATAGTTTGTGTTTCTAATTAAAACAGTTGTGTCTTGACAAAAGTTGATTTAAACAGAAAAGTAATTGTTTTTCTTTTCAGATACCGCAATTTTGATCAGCCTCATCGATTTTACGTAGCTGATGTGTACACTGATCTTACCCCACTCAGTAAATTTCCTTCCCCTGAGTATGAAACTTTTGCAGAATATTATAAAACGAAGTATAACCTTGACCTGACCAATCTCAACCAGCCACTGCTGGATGTGGACCACACATCTTCCAGGTGAGAGCTCCATAAGTGACGTCAGATCGCACTGGAGGGTTTCATTTTGGAGGTTGGGTTCACATGCGGAGGTTCCCTGTGCCTCTGGCCTACCCATAGACTCTGAAATCAGGACCCCTCTGCACCCAGGCATACCTGGGGAGTTTAGGAGTCTGTGGTTAAGTGAATACGCTGAAGTTGGAAAACCACTGTGAAAGCATACTTACTTTTGTTTGACAAAATTGTTTTGAAATTTTTATAGACTTAATCTTCTGACACCTCGACATTTGAATCAGAAGGGGAAAGCTCTTCCTCTCAGCAGTGCTGAAAAGAGAAAAGCCAAGTGGGAGAGTCTGCAGAATAAACAGGTACTGGTTGTTGCTGGTGTAGTCACTGTGTTTGAAGATAAGTTTCAGTTTTACATCATCAAGTTCACTGAGTGATTTGCAAATTTGGGGGAAGTCACTCTACCTTAGATTTTGTTTTGTTCTAATCAGTATTACATATTGAATTTTACTTGAATATCTTCTTCAGTGAGGATGAAGCATTCTGCTTTTGTCATTAGTCCATGCTGTATCACACAATCATCCTCATGAATTTTAGGTCAAATTCCATTTAGGCTTAAAGAATTATTTTAAAAATATATGTGAAATTAGATCTTATTAGCATTTGTAATTTTCATCTTCATCCATTAGTGAAATTGGTCTTTTAATTTACTTTAAAAACATTTTGTGTATGTGCCAGTGCGCATGTGTGTGCTTTTTATTTATCTATTTACCTTTTTTCCTTACTCCAAAGATATTGGTTCCAGAACTCTGTGCTATACATCCAATTCCAGCATCGCTGTGGAGAAAAGCAGTCTGTCTCCCCAGTATACTTTATCGCCTTCACTGCCTTTTGACTGCAGAGGAGCTAAGAGCCCAGACAGCCAGTGATGCTGGCGTGGGAGTTCGATCACTTCCTGCGGATTTTAGGTATGCCTGTACTGTTGGCCAGGAAAAAATGGGTCGTGAAGTCCTATTTGTGAGAATGGAATTAATTTAAATTTAATTTTATATAAAATATTTCTTTTAAAAGTAAAGGCAAAACATGGATGTCTAACACATTTAAAAAATGTCTTGTTGGACTTGCAAGTGAAAATTGGCATGTTAGGTTATCAAGCCCTCTGTTCTTACCAAGTTACAGAGGGAGGGGAGCCCGGAAGCAGAGGTGCTTACTTGTCCCTCAGTGCTGACATGGAAGTAAGTGAAAACAGGTCTTTAGGACAGCTTCCTCTTTGGAAGAAAACCCTGTATATTAAAAAGCAGTTACCCTGGGCTGGGGATATAGCTCCCTTGGTAGAGTGCTTGCCTCACATGTACAAGGCCCTGGGTTCAATCCACGCACACACACAAAAAAGGTCTACCTCAGTGTATTCTTCGTGTTCATTATTTTTTTTCCCCCATTAGTAAAGTCTCTGCACCCTAAGGAAATTTTTGGTTTAACCTCTCAAATTAATTTTGGTTATCCAATAGTCCAATTCTAGGGATTGAAAGAACTTTAAAAATACAACATTAATGGGGCTGAAGTTGAAGCTCAGTGGTAGAACACTTGCCTATCACTGGGTCTGATCCTCAGCACCACCTAAAAATAAATAAATAATTTTTTTAAAAAAAAGGTATTGTGCCCATCTACAACTAAAAATAGATATATTTTTAAAATATTGATTTTTTTTTTTTTAGCTATAGTTGGCCATAATACCTTTATTTATTTATTTTTAGGTTGTGCTGAGGATCAAACCTAGGATCTCACATGTGCTAGGAGAGCGCTCTACTGCTGAGCCACAACCCCAGCCCTAAAAATATATCTTTAAAAAATATAACATTGACAATCGCAGCTCTGTTGATTGAGTACCTGCTACAGCGTTAAATACATGTTTAAATGAGGCAGCCTATATTAGCTCATTTAATCCAAGGGCCATCCTATGAGGCAGGAATCATGAGCTGCATTTCCAGTTGCAGAAACTGAGCCACAGAGTTGTGTAAGCCGCTCACCTAGTTAACCAGAGGACCTGGGTTCCAAGTCCTAACAGCCACCTTTAGGCTGTGCCATGTGCCTCAGTCATCGTACTGTGCTCGGGCTGGGCGGAGGGCTGGGCGGAGGGCAGGGCGGAGGGCAGCCGAGTGAAACCAGTCCCACTTTATAACTGACTTTGTGTGGAGTATCAAGTGATGTTGATTTCTAGCTTGGAAACTTGTTTCTCTCTAAAAGTAGAGAAGTGTCTTTATTTTGTTCTTTACTCTTAGTTTTTTTAAATTGAAATTGCTGCATTCTTAGCTAGCCCTTTTGAGGGATCTGAAGAAGTTATGAAAATGTCTTTGCAGATACCCTAATTTAGACTTCGGGTGGAAAAAATCTATTGACAGCAAATCTTTCATCTCAATTTCTAACTCCTCTACGGCTGAAAATGATAATTACTGTAAGCACAGCACAATTGTAGTCCCTGAAAATGCTGCACATCCGGGTGCTAATAGAACCTCCTTAGAAAACCACGACCAAATGTCTGTGAATTGTAGAGCATTACTCAGCGAGTCGCCGAGTAAGCTTCAGATTGAGGTTTCAACAGATCTGACAGCAGTTAATGGTCTTTCTTACAATAAAAACCTTGCCAATGGCAGTTACGACTTAGCTAACAGAGACTTTTGCCAAGGAAATCAGCTGAATTACTACAAGCAGGAAATACCTGTACAACCAACTACCTCATATCCCATTCAGAATTTATACAATTATGAGAACCAGCCCAAGCCCAGCGATGAATGTACTCTACTGAGTAATAAATACCTTGATGGAAATGCTAACAAATCTACCTCAGATGGAAATCCCGTGATGGCTGCGATGCCCGGTACGACAGACACCATTCGAGCGCTTATGGACAGGAGGGGTGCTGAGCAGAGCCCTTCTGTTGGGTACTCCTCGAGGACTCTTGGCCCCAATCCTGGACTCATTCTTCAGGCTCTGACTTTGTCAAATGCCAGTGATGGGTTTAACCTGGAGCGGCTTGAAATGCTTGGCGACTCCTTTCTAAAGCATGCCATCACCACGTATCTGTTTTGCACTTACCCTGATGCTCACGAGGGCCGCCTTTCGTACATGAGAAGCAAAAAGGTAAGCTGTGGTTCTCTGGGTTGAGCGGCAAGCTCTACAGGGGCCTACTGGTAGTTTGCAGGGTGGTGTGACCTCAGGACAGTCCGCCAAGTGCTGCGCTCCTTCGTTCCACAAGGGCCAGGTGAAGTCTGTGGGTTCTCTCTCGCCAGGTGACACGAGTGCTCCATGCTGTCGACACTCGGGTTCAGGGGTCAGCTGATGTTTGTATGCTTTATTTATTCATAGAAATTCAGTTCAGGTAAACCTGTTGGTGCAAGTCCAAGTCCTAGATTCCAAGGGAGACAGAGGGATCACAGAACCCCGGGCTGGTGCTTCACCCCAGGTGTGGGAAGCCTTTGGGTGGGAGGGCATGTGTGGGCAAACGGGGGTGTACACTCGAGTAGGACACAGGCTTTGGGGAGCTGTGTGGGGGACAGAGTCACAGGCATCCCGGAGCCAGTCAGTCCCTGTTTGGTGTAAGGAGTCACATCAGAGTTGCTGTGAGGCTCCGTGACTCTGGGGAAGTGTGTGTGCTTCAGACGAGAGTGGGTGCAGGGTGGCTCGCGCAGACTGTTAAGTGGCGACAAAGAAAGTGAGCTGGTGACCCTCGGCTCTCAAAGGAAGGCCGCTTGTGAGTTGGAAGAAGAGGCATGTGCACATGTGTGACCAGCACCAGTGACGGCAGAGGAGCCAGCGCTCTGCAGGTGTAGCCGGCACAGTCCAAGAATGGGAGAGCTGAGGGAGGTGTGGAGGAGGCGCAGGGCGCGCCAGCTGAGGGCCTTAGTCGGGGGTGAAGCGAGGGACCAGGACTATAGTGAACTGATAGTTCTTAACATGAGTGGTCTCTGGGACGAAGCGTGGCTTAAACAGCAGAGCCAGAGCAGGCCGAGCAGCAGGGCAGGCAGGCTGGAGTTCTGGGAGAGGGAGCGGCTGAGGCTGGGGAGGGAAGAAATGGCACCTCAGCCACCACCAGGCACTACTGAGGCCACTTTGTATGTGTGTCTCTTTCTCTGTCCCCCCTCCCCCCACACACACACATGCACAAGCATATCTAAGCCTAATTAAATCTTGAGTATAATTTGGAGAGATGTGTACTTCCATTACTTCCATTTCTGTAGATAGATATAACAGGAGGCAGGAGAGGTTGACTCACGTGGCAAGTAAGGGCAGAGTCTGGAGACCCTGCCTGTCACTGTCACATTCAGCTGTTTCTGGTGCTTTCTCATGGCAGGCACTGTGCTGAGCGCTTCTCCAAAGGCTCCACATGGAGTTGCCTCCGCAGGGCTTCAGGAGGCAGGTGCTGAGGAGTGTGGGTGGTTGGTGCCGGTCACCCTGCTGGCCCAGCACCGTTGGGAGTGTGTCTGAGGCTGGAGGCCACAATACGGCCTCCTGTCCTCTGCTGCCTCCTGATGAGCTGAGACAGGGTGGTCATGCCCTGATGGGAGCTCTGCCAGCGGGGAGGCTGAGGAGAGCAGCCATGTGGAGGTCAGAGAGGTAGGAGGTGGGGAGGGCTGCGCCTCGAGACCTCATAGGACATGAAGGGGAAATGCTCCGATCATTGGGATTTGGGACTCAGCTGTGGTTCTGCAGAGGCCTCTGTGGGGTGGAAGTTGAAGCTCTTGAGACAGTGAGATTTTCGAAGATCTGGGAGTCTGAGGATGAGCGCGTCGAGGGAGGAGGGAGGACTCCATCCCTGCATCAGCTCTGAGCCCTTGGCTCCTAATTTCTTACAGAAATAACTGTCACTCCCGAGGGCAGGTCTCGCTGGGCTGTGGCCTGCTACTCCACAGGGACCTCACGTGCTCACCACCCGGCCCTGTGCCTTGGCTGGCCCTGCTGCTCCTTGCGGCGCTTCTCCCCCTTTGCCTCCTGCCTGTCCCGAATTTCAACTCATCCCTTCTTTAGTTCCTTCTCTCTTCTCCATGTGGCCGCCCACTTGTGTCAACTTCGAATGTGCTTTCCTTTCCTGGGAGTCCCCTTCGCTTAAAGCGCGGCTTTATAGTGGAGTGTGGAAAGGGCAACTCACATCTTATTGGAGTCAGTTCCTGCTCAGGCAGTGGGGAGAGCGCTTGACACACAGCAGCTGTCCTAGGCAGGTCTCCTCCCCCACCCACAGTCACCTTGCAGGGACTGCTTTGTTCCTCTGATCAGTTGCCACAGGGCTGCCTGGCCAAGTGCCTTTCAGGATTGGGTACTTGGCTAAATAGTAGCGGGGTGACATGCACAAGGGCTCAGGAAGTGCTGCAGTGATATTTTTAGAAAATGGAAATGGGGTGGACAGTTCTGAACCCAGGTCTCCAGTGAGAACTAGATGAATGCATGGTGTGAGAGGTTAGGGAGAGGCCAGAGGCTCTGGGAAGGGCACCTGGACCAGGGTGGGCAGGGAAGTGCAGCAGGATGTGCAGAGAGAGTGCCTTGCACCGCCTTTGCTCCATGTTCAGACCATAGAATGAAATGTCATGCAGGCCATCCAAACAAAGGAGCATCACAGTTGAAATCACATTTGTACGTAGGCTCTAGGAGGGAAGACTGTGAGTACTGCACAGCACCTTTGGACATGCATTCTTTCTTACATTGATAGTTGTATTTAGTAATTTGTATTTTATATTAACAGGTTGTTTTGAAGACTTTGAACTTTGGCTCATTAGTAAGGAATCCACATTTATATACATATATTTACATATATACATTAGTTATATATAATATAAATTACAGTGTATTTTTTATTAAGAAATATTTAACTATACTAAAAGTTATAGAATATTTGGGAATTTAAAATTCTTTTTCTATCATAGATAGAAAAATCTATGCAGCCCTTAAAATTGGTAACCCGTTATAGTAACATAAAGAACATTTAGCTGAGAATATATTAATAAGCCTTGTGTAGTTTCCCCCAGTGATCTTAATGGTAAGTGTCTTCTGATATTTTCTGCTGAAGGTCAGCAACTGTAATCTCTATCGCCTTGGCAAAAAGAAGGGACTGCCCAGCCGCATGGTGGTGTCGATATTTGATCCCCCTGTGAATTGGCTTCCTCCTGGTTATGTGGTAAATCAAGACAAAAGTAACACAGATAAATGGGAAAAGGATGAAATGGTAAGTTTTTAGTAATTGGAGGTATTTTATTTTTGGTAGCTGGTGAATTTTGTTGTTTTTTTGTTTGTTTTCTGATCATGGTATGTTTACAATAGATATTTAATATATTGAATTAATTCTTTTTAAGTAGACCATCTTTTCTGTGGAGGATAATTTCCATTTTTATCTTCCTTTACCAAAGGCAGGAGATTTTGTTATATTTTGACTTAAAAAAAAAATCACAGCCCGTTAAGTTTCACTTTACTAATATGTATTACAGTTTATTCTAAATCCTTAGCTGTATTCCAGGAAATGACTTTCAGTGACCCATGATCTTCAGGCTGTGTGTAGAGTGATTGATTTCAGTAGGATCTAGCTTTTGCACCTTAGGGTTTTCTCAGGACTGTTTCTGTTCTTATGAACTGGGGTGGGGGAGAAATCATCACACATAAAGGTTGTGCTGTCCTGGAGATCCTGAAGTCATGCTCCAGGAGACTCCATGTAGCACGGCTGCCTGCCCTTGTCTTGTCTTGAAGGCCACCAGAGGGCGGCTGGGGCCTATGCGCTGTGACGCAGCTGCCCAGTGGACAGTGGGAGAGCGCTGGGGCCTCTCCAGCCACACACATCTTCAGGCAGCTTCGTGTCCCAGGTTATCTGCACCAAAGGTAAATTGGCTCATGTTACTTCATTTTTCCCTCAGGCTGATGGCGAGTACACAGTTTTCCAGGTTCTATTTTCTGCATAGCATTTCTGTACGCCTTTCCTAGGACATGTGTTGTAGGTATGTCTTTAGTATTTACAGGTAGTCTGCTGTGCAACTGTTCAGTTTATACCTATTTATTGAGCCTACTTTAACTCATGTAGTGTTTGACTTATTACAGAAATGATTCTTATTTGGAAAAGCATTAAGAGAATATTTTAATGCAGGTTACTTCAGAAAATCATGTTTGTTATTGATTTAGAAATATGTAAAACCAGTAGAAAATGTATAGATTGAATTTTAGAAAATATGTTGCATTGCTATGAAAAACTTTCCAATAACAGCTGTTGTCTTTATAAATAAACCCTGTTTCATAATATATTTGACTCTTAAAAATTGTAGCATAAAGGTGCCTGGCATGTCAGCTTTGTTTTTATTGTTTTAAGATGGAGGTTCTCGTTCTCCTTGGGTGTCTGATGGTGTGGCACTTTGGTTCTTGGAGCACATCGTAAGCCTGGCCCTCCATCTTGGTTTGTGTGACTGGAACTGGCCCTGCATCATGTTGAGGTCTTGTGCCTCGCCCGCCACCGTACTCCCCCCCCCTCTACTCCTGCTCTGCGGCAGATAGGGTCAGCTGACACCTTTGCACACAGGTGCCTCCAAGAAAAGAGATTGGTGGTGACTCAGGTAGAGAGGTGATGTGAACTTTCAGAGAAAAGGGTTCACGCTGATGTTTCCCTTACAAGGTGTGAAGTGCTTAAAGAATCTGAAGCCCAGAAGCATGAAAGGACTTTGCCCAGGATCACACTGTTGGTGATAAAAACTAGTCCTTTGTGTCCTTGTGTTCTGCTGATTTCAGCTGATTGTGATGCCTTATTAAAGAAACAAAAGGACTTATTTTAATTTTTAAAAAATTATCCAGTCTGATTTTTTAAATTGCATTTTGGCCTATTTTGTCTGAAGAACCAAACAATACTCAAGAACAGCTCATATTACCTTGGAAAATAGAGCGGTTTAGCAGGAAGTAGTTCCTTGAGGTCTACCACTGTAGTTTTCTTTGGTGCCCTTTCTTACTCTTCAAAAGATTTTTTTTAATTTAAAAACTGAAGGATATATAGTTCTAGATATATGGCTTGCCTTACTGTTATTTCTTTTCAACAAAGTCAAGTGTTTCTCTTTCAAACCTGGTTTAAAAGAAAATCTTTGCACTATTTAAAAAATGCTTGGCAGTTTGCAAATGTTTGTCAGAGTACTCTGAAAAATTGTTACGATCAAAATTGAATCATGCCTTCCTGCCTTTCTCCCCAAAGGAAAGTGGTGGACTTGTTGTTGTTATTTTGTTTTGTTTTCACTGCTTAACAGAAATTTGGCATCTTTCTAGCATTGTGAAAAAGTTACATCATTACAAAAACCTAGCCTATTATTAAGGTTGTCATTCACAAATAAGCTTGTGCCAAAGAAATTGGAATTAGCAAAGATTTTTTGACAGCAATTGGATTGTTGTTTCATGTTAGTCTAAATTTTCTATTTTTGTCAGTTATGCTATAATCTGTTACTCTGATTACTGCAGCTCAGAGTGAGAGGAAACACATAATTTCTCAAATTCATAGCTTATTTCAGCATTCGTTTTTATTTGTTAGAAAGCAAAGCAGTTTGATTCTACATTCTAGCTAATGTGCTTTGATTTGAAGTGGAAGTAGGGATAAAAACTTTATTATAAAACCCTAGCATATGTTTTTAGTGTTATAAGGTTTTAAAAATAATTTCATTTGTTTTTGTAGTACACATTTACTTAATTGAAAAGATAACGCTTTTTTTCTGCATTGGAATTTCATTTTATTAATTTGGAAATTAGGTCACCATGATTTAAAACTTTGTCAGCCAAGTGGGATATCTCTGTGATCAGTAGATGAGTGCCTGCCTTGTGTGGCCTGTCAGAGTTGAAGTTTTGCAGTGTGGACATTAATTTTAACTTTATATCCATGTTCAGGAGTCTAAACTTAAAGCTTTATACTGGATAAAGTTCATTTTATAACTTAGAAAATGAACATTCAAAGAACATGTTTTACTTTGTTTATATGATTAAATAACTTATTTTATGTTAATTGAAAACAAATGGCCATGATTTTAAAGTTGCCTTTTAGTATTTGTGGTTGTCATTTGAAATTATCCATAACCCTTGCTTTTATTGAGTTTCAAACCCTTTTAAAAACAGCAGCTATGACTCCCCTCCTTCTCCCCATTCCCTGTTTCAGACAAAAGACTGCATGTTGGCTAATGGCAAACTGGATGACGACTCGGAGGAGGAGGAGGAAGAGGAGGAGGAAGAGGAGGAGGAGGAGGAGGACCTGATGTGGAGGGCTCCGAAGGAGGAAGCCGAGTATGAAGATGATTTCCTGGAGTATGATCAGGAGCATATCAAGTTCATAGATAACATGCTGATGGGCTCAGGAGCTTTTGTAAAGAAGATTTCTCTTTCTCCTTTCTCAACCACTGATTCTGCATATGAGTGGAAAATGCCCAAAAAGTCCTCGTTAGGTAGCATGCCATTTTCATCAGACTTTGAGGACTTTGACTACAGCTCTTGGGATGCCATGTGCTATCTGGATCCTAGCAAAGCTGTTGAGGAGGATGACTTTGTGGTGGGGTTCTGGAATCCGTCAGAAGAAAACTGTGGCGTCGACACGGGAAAGCAGTCCATTTCCTACGACCTGCACACAGAGCAGTGCATTGCCGACAAGAGCATAGCTGACTGCGTGGAAGCCCTACTGGGCTGCTACCTGACCAGCTGCGGCGAGCGGGCTGCTCAGCTGTTCCTCTGCTCGCTCGGCCTGAAGGTGCTCCCGGTGATTAAGAGGACTGGTCGGGAAAAGGGCCTGTGCCCTGCCCGGGAGAATTCCAGCAGCCAACAAAAGAACCTTTCAGGGAGCTGCGCTGCGGCCGGCCCTCGGCCCTCGGCGTGGAGGGACTTGGAGTACGGCTGTCTGAAGATCCCCCCAAGGTGTATGTTTGACCATCCAGATGCAGACAAAACCCTGAACCACCTGATATCAGGGTTCGAAAATTTTGAGAAGAAAATCAACTACAGATTCAAGAATAAAGCTTACCTTCTGCAGGCCTTCACGCATGCCTCCTACCACTACAACACTATCACTGGTAAGGAGCCCGCCTGTGCCCTGTCCCTGCAGAGGAGCCTCTGTGTGTGTCTCATTGTTTGGGCCTTATAAAAACAGCTTGTGCTTGCACAGTCCTGGGCTTAATGTGCTTGGTCAGAGAGGAAGCAGACGAGAACAGAAAGAATCCTTTATTTTTGTCGTCTTATGGGGAGTAAGAACTGCTTTGTAGCTTTGACAGCTGGGAGTGTGACACTCTGGGTGCTCTCCTAGATGTTGCAGTGTTAAGGAAATCTGAGCCCTACTATTTTGCTGTTCTTTCCCATCTCATCCAAGTACCTTTCTGATGCCCACTCAGTGCTGCTTTTGATTCTTGATTTATTAATATATTCTGCATGTGTTTCTAAATCTTTTTATTGTTCTTAGTAGACAAAAGCATCCCTCTCTCAGGGTCTTAGGGTCTTTTAAAAAATCTGAAGATGAAAAGATTAAAGGAAACTTTTTCACAGGAAGGTTCCATTGCGCTTGCCCTGGTTCTGCCGTCACCTTTCTACTCTACATTGTCTCTTTCCTCCTCCTCTATCGAAGAGGCTCCTAATCCGTGAGAGTAGAAAGCAGCACAAGTTATTAAAACAAAACTTAGCTTCAGCCTGGGAAACAAAATTTATATTTTGTTTTCTGTATGAAAATAATAAATGCTTGAATCCAAAATATCAAAGCATAAAATTTGTAGTTTGTATGATTACACTATGTAGATTAAGATGAGATGCACAATAGAAAACCACAGTATGAAACATTCTCTGATTTTGGACTTGAGGACTGATGTAGGTCAGTGGTTTTCTCAGCAGGGGAAGGAGTGGTGCTTGCTTGCTCTGTGCTCACTCTGCTGGGCATAAGGCCTGGGTGCCAGCCTGTCCCACTCAGCCCTTGGCTCTTGACTCCATGGCTATTTTGGGACCGGTCACTTCATGTCTCTCTGCCTGCATTCCCTCAGCTGAGTGGATTCCTTTAGTCACCGCTAGCAGGTCGGGACGTTGGCTGGCACTGAAAACTTCACATTTTGGCAGCCGTCCATCCTTGCCCAAGTGCTTTGCTCACGCACACAGCTCCTTCCTCAGTCTCTTGGTTTGTGTCAGATTCAGCATTCTAGTTCCAGTTGAGAAGAGGGTCTCCTTCTCCTGTCAGGAGTGGTGAAGAGTGGTGTCACTGAGCCACACTTTCTGCAGTGTGGGTGAGACACTGCGCAGTGTGGCAGCACAGCATGAGGGGTGGCAGGTGTGTGTCGGATCTGGTGTCGTTGAAGCGGCAGTGTGTGTGTGGAGACTCTAGAGGGTGCCCAGCTCCTGCCTGGCCAGCAGGTGCAAAGAAGAGCATCTGTTAGATATATCACCTGGCAAATAGCAAATTAGTTTTTTTGGCCACTTGAAGATTTTATGACCCCAATTTATATATATAATAAATTTGCTTTAAATTGTTGTTAAAATTTAATTTTCAGAGGCTTTAGTATGATATAAGTAATTTTCTCATTGAGGAAGATATACAAATAGACGTCTTTAAAACGGGTCTGGGGATCACACCTCACATCAGTTACGTATTTGGAAGGAGAGTAAATGTTGCTGCACAAGCTGATGGTTCCACCTTGGATCCTCGCGCAGATTGTTACCAGCGCTTAGAATTCCTGGGAGATGCAATTTTGGACTACCTCATAACCAAGCACCTTTACGAAGACCCACGGCAGCACTCCCCAGGGGTCCTGACCGACCTGCGCTCTGCTCTGGTCAACAACACCATCTTTGCGTCACTGGCTGTGAAGTATGACTACCACAAGTACTTTAAAGCTGTTTCTCCCGAGCTCTTCCATGTCATTGACGACTTTGTGCAGTTTCAGCTTGAGAAGAACGAGATGCAAGGGATGGACTCTGAGGTCAGTGCCATTTAAAATATGTTGAATTCAGTGTTGAAGGAAGCCATCCCACTAGCAGTCTTGGTAATTTGAGCTCTGACTTAATTGCTGTCCAGAGGGACACCTGAAGGCCAGGGCTGCGCTGTCCACAGGCTACGTGTTCTCAGAGAGAACTGAGAAGTGACTTGCTGTGGTCAGGTGGGCTTTTGGACTTGACTACCCACGCTCTGGGCTCTACAGTATTGAAGTGGAGAGGAGGCGCTGCGGATTGGTAGCCACCCCTCATCAGGCTCCCATGTTTATGCACACTAAAGAAGGGCACCTCCCCCTGCCCCAGAGCAGGCTTGACCTTGGGGAAAGCTCAGGGTGGTTTATGATGCCTTTTTTCTTTTTAAAATGCATCTGAAATATTTGCTAATATCTGAGGTAAGCATCGCAAATACATTTACTTTTACTTGAAATGGGAAAATCTCATCTAAAAACCAAACTTCTAAATTTTTAACCATTGGGATTTGGGAAGCATCTCAGGTAGGTTCAGCCAGAGGTCCGCTGGTGATAGAAGGAATTCTGATGTTTGCCCACAGTGAGCTCTTCAGAGCCCTTGTGGGAGAGGGTGCTGCAGAGGCCTTGCCAGCCACCTCCCACTCTCCAGGGTTCATCCCTCTACCCAGGGCCCTGGGAGAGCGCTCCCATTCTTTACTCCTCTCATTCTGATCCCTTTAGTTTTCTTATTGTATAGGAGTTTATTCTGGACTCTGTAGCTGTCTTAATTGTTCTTGTTTTAATTTGTACCTTCTCTCTTTTCTAATTGCTCCAAACTACTGTTGGGCTGTAGTGAATTTTTTTGGCTTTTTGTGAGAAAAAAGTGAATGTAGGTTTTAAAGCCTTGCCACAGGGTGAGCGTCAAGTGCTGCCTATACAGCTGTGCCCTGCAGGGCGGGCGGTAGGCAGGCTCCTGTGGGCCTTCCTGCAGGGCCAGCTCTGATGCGGAGCAGGCGCAGCCCAGCGGGGCAGGAACTGTCTCATCCAGGTCCCAGTGTCCCTCTCCTCTCACTCTTTAGGAATATTGTACTTCAAAAGTAGAAGAATTCACTAAATTAGATTTCTGTTCTCTTTTTGTTCTGTTAGGGTTTATTCTTTGACTTCCCTTGGTTTGTAGAAGTGTGTATAGAAGTTACAGACGCTTATTGGGAATGTCACGGTCTGGCTTTTTTAGCTTAATATTTGATCTTAAAGAAGTTTCTCTCTCTCTCTCTCTCTCTCTCTCTCTCTCCCTCTCTCCTCAGCTATAAAAGGAGAGAATTTAACTTACTAAGTTCAAAAATTCCTTTCTATTTCAAAACAATGACATATGAGCAGTAAGCATCTTTTTTTTCTAGTTTTCAGCATCATAGAGAAGTTTGTGTGACTAAGTGTCCTCTGTTTATTTCTCTTTCACAGATATTGTGCATTTATTTTAGAAAAATTAGAAAATATAAATAAACACAAAGAAAATTAATTAATTAATTCAAGTTGCCTAATTATGCTGCCCCAGAAATAACTAATATTAACATTTTCAGATGTATTATTGCTAATGTGTATAAAAATAAACATGCATAACACATAAAATGGAATAATGTATAGTATTCTTTTCACTTAATATATTATAGCTGACTTTCCATGTATTGATTGGCATTATGGTTTTCAGTAGTGGAGTCAAATATAGCTAATTTAGGGTCCTTTATGGTTGAATAGTTAATAGTTTTTAATTAGGACTTCTAGTAAACATGGGTGTTTTAAGAAAAATTCTTGAGGCAGAATTGCATCATAGAATTCGAACTTTTAAAAAGGCTTTTGATACGTAAAATTTTGGCCTATTAATTTGAATATACTGTCAAGTACTCTGTTATAATGAACATTTATTAAATAGTTTAATGAAAAGAGAGCCTGAAGGGGAAAATCTTCCAGAAAAAAAAAAAAATCTGCCATAAAAGTCGTGTTCTCTTGTTCCCAGAGCAGAGCATACCAGCATACCCTGTCCAGCCTGTCCTCATTAGCGTCCTGTTTCATCCTCGCCAACCTTCCTGGGGGGAGGACTGTTTCAATGTGAAATTCTTTGATTATGAGTGAATTTGAAAAAGGGTTTTTTATACACTTATTGACCTCTAGTTTTGTGCTAAACTTGTTTTTGTTTTAATTTAGAAGTAATTTTTTTTCTCCTTTGCTGGGTGTAGATGCTAAATGGGGCAGGGAATTTTCTCCCTTTTTTTAAATTTTCATTTAAGATTAAAAATGATGTTTGTGGAAAAACCTATCACAGTGTTGCAGGCAATCCATAAATGGTTGGTATTGTTAGCGTTGTTAGAAGTACTAGCTAAGGAAAGGAAATGCGTCTGTGCACTGCCTCTCTGCGACCTTTGGCTTACGTCACTTTCTGTTATAGCTTAGGAGATCAGAGGAGGATGAAGAAAAAGAGGAGGATATTGAAGTTCCAAAGGCCATGGGGGATATTTTTGAGTCACTTGCTGGTGCCATCTATATGGATAGTGGGATGTCGCTGGAGATGGTGTGGCAGGTGTACTATCCTATGATGCGACCACTAATAGGTATTGTGGATTCTTTGTTGAAAGAAAAATAAAATTTAAAAATGTCTCAAGGGTATTACACACATAATTCTTTGATTTTGATTATAGAAAAGTTTTCTGCAAATGTGCCCCGTTCCCCTGTGCGAGAACTGCTTGAAATGGAACCAGAAACTGCCAAATTTAGGTGAGCAAAACAATGTGTATGGAAAATAATTAACTCCCTTAAGAGCAAGGGGAGAAGTTCTTGAAATATCATTAAACAATGATTTTGAAAAATTCTGATGCCGTGGCATGCTATTATCCAATTTTCATCTGACTAAACAGCTCTTTTTTCCTTTTTGTTTTTATAAAGCAAAGCTAAATTAAGGCAGAAACGGCAGCCGCTCTGTCGGCAGTATGCCCCCGTTTAGCCCTAATGCACGTTTCCTTTGTTCGGTGTCAGCTTGTACCCAGGACCTCGGCCTGACAGTGCATATGGAATGCTGACTGACAATGATAATAAATACTTCTGACTTCTAACTCACGCTGTTTGGGTTTTTTACAGCCCGGCTGAGAGAACTTACGATGGGAAGGTCAGAGTCACAGTGGAAGTAGTAGGAAAGGGGAAATTCAAAGGTGTTGGCCGAAGTTACAGGATTGCCAAATCTGCAGCAGCAAGAAGAGCCCTCCGAAGCCTCAAAGCAAATCAACCTCAGGTTCCCAACAGCTGAAGCCCCTTTTTAAACTTAAAGACAACAACAACAAAATAAAATAAAATAACAGAATTAAGGGGAAAATATTTAAATCGAAAAGAATGATTTAAGTTGGTATTGAGCAGAATGAATGGAAGGCAGAATTTAAAGTTTGATAACAAGATAGATAACAGAATAAAACATTTAACATATGTATAAAATTTTTGAAACTAATTGTAGTTTTAGTTTTTTGCGCAAACACAATCTTGTCTTCTTTCCTCACTTCTGCTTTGTTTAAATCACAAGAGTGCTTTAATGACATTTAGCAAGTGTTCAAATAATTATTGACAGTTTTTTGTCTGTTTGGTTTTTTTTTTGTTTGTTTGTTTGGTTGGTTTTTTTGAGTTTGTCAGCTTTGCCTAGCGTTAGAAGGCCATGGAGCTTAAACCTCAAACAGCCCCTAGAATTCCATAGCGTCCTGAACACCCTTCGGTGCATGTGGTAGTGCCACTCCTGCGGGAGTCCTTGCCCCGAGTGGAGCGATGCAGTCGGCGAGAGGAGGAGCGAGCAGGTGTTGGCTTTTCTTTCCATTTGTGTTGTGTAAGGTGAAGTTCCAGGCGCTGTTGCACTTGATGGTAAGGAGTGGATTGTGGATCAGCATTGGCTGGCATGTTGGTGAATCAAATTTGAGTTCGATGCCATGTGGTCCTACATAAAAAAGGTTCTTGCCTTAAAATTAAAACTTTCATGAATATTCTTTAATTTCTGAACAAACCATTTACATTCCCTTTGTTTTATTATGCATTAGATGTTGAGATGGAGTCAGTTACAGCTCACTAGTATAGTTGTTACTACAGGATTACACTAGAATTTCTGTCACATGTATTCCAAAGACATTTTAAAAACCAGAATATGAATTTTTTTTAACATCATAATCAAAATGATCTTTGGCTAAATACCCAGTTTTACTGAAAATTTCCTGCTAGGTAGTTCCAGTGATGGGAATATTTGTGGCAAGTGATTTTGCCCTGTAGGCTGTCGCTCTAATGAAATAACCCTTAGACATATCACACCTGAACTATGCTGCAGACTTTATAATTGGCTGGTGGTTTGTTGCAGAAGCAGACAGAGCACCTTGCTATAGTCCTCTCTCCTGCGTCTCCTGCTGTGCTTTCCAGCGTGGCATGCGCGTCTCCCCAGAGCTGTGCTGGCAGTGCCACGGGAGTGGAACGTTGGCGATGGTCTGCCGTGACTTTTATACATCTGTGGTTTAGGTCATTGATTTAGATAAACTAGCTCATTATTTCCATCTTGGGGAAAAAATTTAGGCATTTGCCAGAGTTTCTTTGATTAGACTTGTAGGCACTCTTTACTTCAATACCTCAGTTCTTCTTTTCTTTTGCATGCATTTTTCCCCTGTTTGGTGCTATGTTTATGTATTATGCTTGAAATTTTAATTTTTTTTTGCACTGTAACTATAATACCTCTTAATTTACCCTTTTTAAAGCTGTGGGTCAGTCTTGTGCTCCCACCAAAATTCCAGTAGAAGTTTGCTGCAATTTGCCCCATTAATTATGCTTGAAGTTCAAGAAAGCTGAGCAGAGGTGTCTCGTACTTTCCAGCACATCGTTTTGAAGTTGATGCTTCATGTAATGCTGCATTTACGTTTCAATTACATTTGGATATTTTTCTGTACCATCCACTTGCAGAGAAGGACCTCTGCCCACGCACACAGCAGCTTTCAGCTCTGCTTCATACTCAGCCCCAGGTGAAGGGGATGTTGAGCTTCTCCAGTGTATTTGTTGTCTTAATTTGAGATCTAAATTCTTAGAGTTTTTGAGCAAATTAATCTAGGTGACTGATTTTGAAAATAATTCTGATGTACAAACCTTGGATGTCTATTTGATTTAAAAAAAAATATTAGGTGCGATAATATTAGGTAAAACCAAGCGATTCCTGAATTATATAACTATGAAAGTGTACAGGTAACAGGTGAGGCTGGATATTAATTTTACTTGTGGGGTGATTTGTGGTCATATCATGGCTCTCTTGATAATTTATAAACTACCTGATGCCAGGAGCTTTGGGCTTTGCATTGAATCTGATGCATTTATCCCAGCGTTAGGGCGTTCTCTGGCTTCTTGGCTTTCAAATCAGATTGTTTCAGTCATGATTCCCGGTGGGAGAAAATGCCTCAATGTATTTTGTAACCTTAAGAAAAATATTTTATGATCATACTAAAAAAAGTTCAGACTCGCATATGATTAGGCCATACATTCTCAGGGGCACGAATTTCTTGCTACTATTCAAAATGTTTTATCAACAGCAAACATGAGCTACTACTATTACTGCCCCTCTTTTTTTTCTTTGGAAAAAAAGAGCTGATATTAACAGTTTGAAGCATTCTATGATCCCCTGGTGACTAAGTAAAAAATAAATGAACAATATTATTTAGACACATTAAATGGTTATGAACGCTTTTGTGCTGCTGAGTTTTCATGCTGTCAAGTTTTCCCCAGTTTAGTTTGTTGACATATTTTGCATCTGTCAATTAAGAAAAAAGTCACTCTGTTGCCCCACTTTAAAACTGTGTGTGCATCTTTTGCCCCTGCAATGGCCATGGGGGCAGAACATGCCGTGGAAACGGGCTGGTGAGTGGGGCTGTCCCCGGCGCACGATAATGGACCGCTGAGGTGCCGCTCGGCAGAGCCACTGCAGGAACCCTGATGGTGTGCAGGTCGGTTGGCATGGACCTTCACTGTAAATGTCTCCTTTCTTTCATGATATATTTTCTGCAGTCCTGACTATGCTGCGTTTTGAAGAGCTTTCCCCCCCTGTTCTGTTCATGCACAGATGAGCGTTGCACTTGGTACATGCTTTACCTCATTTCAAGGAGAATATGCTTAACTGAGAGGAAAAATGTGGTTTGGCCTTGCTGCTGTTTTGATTTGCCGAATTTGAAAAAGATGATTATAATGCCTGCAATGTGTCATATACTTGCACAACTTAAATAGGTCATTTTCGTCTATGGCATTTTTACCATTTGTGAAAGTATTGCAAAGATTTGTTAACTGAACTCTTAATTATGTTTTAAAAATGTTTGTTACATTTCTTTTACATGTGTGAAATGATTAAGTTTAGAATGACCTCTAACACTCCTGTAATTATCCCTTAAAATACTTCTATTTTTACTTTCTTAATAATAATAGCCTGCCCTCAGAAAGATTCGATGCCCTGCCTGCGTAGCAAGAGTCTTGAGACGGCTCTGGCTCTGCGCGTCCAGTTCCCAGCTGCAGTTGCTCACCCGCAGTCGGCTCTTCCAGTCGTTTCCTGGCAGTGGGTGGTGGCCGCAGAATACAGAGTGTATTCAAGACCCGGGCCCACCCCACCACACTCTTAAGGCCCTGTTAATGTAAAACTCTGTATCCTGCTCGGTTAGGGCATCTAATCCTTTCCCGCAGAAGCGAAGGCCAGCAGAGACTGGCGTCTTTATTTACCTGTGTCCGAGTCACGTTTGAGTCTGTAGCTGGTTTACAGTTGTCCGTGGAGGAGGAGCTCATGCCGTGTGTACCACCCATGTGGTTTTTTTAATCACATCTAAATAGGTATATTTTTCCAGCCACTAATTGCTTTTCTGAAATTTAATTATTTCCAAATAAATTTTCTTATTTTATATTGTACATGAGAAGTTTTAAAGATATGTTTAAGACCAAGAGTAGTAAAATGACTTTAAAAGTTGTTGGAGGTGCCAGTAGCAATATCTAGGGAATTTGCATTGAGACCATTGTATTGTCCACTAACGGTGAAAATGAGCTTTCAGAACTAACTTGTAAATATGTTTTCATCATTGCTTGTTTTTTTCTATCCATATTTGGACGTCAACCACAGACAGTTTAAATTTTGTAGATGCCCTCAAAATTCACTGCAGCAGCAGGTTATATAGCAAAAATGCAAAGGTGAACAGGAAGAAGATCTCTGCCTTTTCTGCTGTAAATAGAGTAAAGGAAAATGACTAAAATCAAGTAATACTAATACATCATTTCATTGACAATAGAATCTTCACATCACATGCTGCAGCTGTTTTTTAAGGAACATGATGTAATTCTTTCATAGTAATCATGCTGCAGAAATTTGCAGTCTGCACCTTATGGATCACAATTACCTTTTTTTGTTTGTTTATTTTTTGTTTTCTTTTGTAATAATTGTAGCCAAGTAAATCTCCAATAAAGTTATGGTCTGTTCACTTTGTGTCCTTTTATCTTTTTCCCTTCCAGTTTTGACTTACTTCATGTGGATGATAACATTTAAATAGTGGTAGCAGAAATGGTTTTAAAAATGTTTGAATTCCCTGGTGTATCATGTAAGAGTGCATATTTTCACAGGAGGAAATTTGGTTCATCAAATTATGCTTCTTGTCTACCAACAGAATTATATTGTAACAATTGTCTTTTTGCAAGTGTGTTTTTTCTGAAATGATGTCACAGTTGATTAACGTGTTCCAGGTCCTGGATCATTGGTGATATTTTTGACACATTGCTTACATGAAATTAGTTATTCTGAAGCACAGTGGACAGAATGTTCAGCTTCCAGGTTTTTAGGACACATTTTCCATATTATCTATTAAGAAAGAATTCTATTACTTCAAGCTTGTGAGTCAACCTCTCGGTAAGTAATCTAAGCGCGAAGGGGCAATCACTTGACTGTAGGAAGATGATAGGCAGATGTTTTATAGAATGAGAAAATTTTTAGTCTTCCCTTTTGCAAGTTTAAATTAATCTCTTCCTAATCCCTCCTGATGGCCCTAAACCAAAGGAGAAAAAAGTATATGTATTTCAACCCTAAGTACTTGGGGAGGTGCTGCATGCCTGTGTGTGCTGGTATTCCTGCCCAGAACACACTGGATGGTCCGGCCGAGCCTCGTGGCCTCATCTCCTTTCTGCCACTGTTGACTGTGACTTCCAGAGACGAGCAGTCATTCCTTTCTGTGGCTTCCGGGACCAGCAATATCTAACAGCCACACCACGGGATCACTTTGCAAATCAAGATGTGAGTGAAAAGATTCAAAATGGAATTTGAATGTTTTACTGTGTGCAGATCCATGAGCGCAAGGCAGGTTTTAGATGGAGGTGGATCCCAGGTCACAGCCAGCTCAGCTGTGTGCAGACCTTCAAGCCAGGAGGATGCTTCCTCACCGTCTCATTTTAACCCCTTTAAGTGAATAGTCCCGTGGCGTAAAGAAAGTTCTCGGTGCTGTACGACCATCAGCACTGCAATCCTCCAGGACTCACCCCACGCTTTCCATGAGCCCACACTCTCGTTCTTTCTGCAATAGTGTAACTTCATAGACATGAAATAGACATGATTGTACTTTTGTGTCAGGCTTACGACACTCGGCGTATGTCTTCAGGGTTTGTCTACGATTCAACAGGGTCAGCGTTTGCCCGTTGAGGCCATTGCCCGTCCTATGTGTGGGCCCCACGCCTTGTTGGTCTGTCCTTTTGCTATTGGACACTTGGGTTTCTCTCACTGGTCAGCAGTTGTGAGTGTGGCTGCTGTGAACGCAGGTGTACATGTACCCGTTGAGTCCCTGCCTTCAGTTCTGCAGGGTGCAGAACCGCAGTGTGGCCTTGCTGGGTCATGTGGTGATTCTGTGTTAACTTTCTGGGGAGCCGCCATACTGTTTCCCGTACATTCCCAGGGCCACTAGTCAGGATTCCAATTTCTTCATATCCTCATTAACACTTTGTTGTTTTTGTGGTGTTTTGGTAGTAGCCACCCTGGTAGGTGTAAGATGACATCTTCCTGTGGTTTTGATTTGCATTTCTCTTTACGATGAGGGGTGGTGCACATCTTTCCATTTTCAAAGGTGCGTATTGCGTATTTCAGAGGTGCCCTTCTTCTTTGGAGAAATGTTTATTTGAAGTTCTTTACCCATTTTTGAATTGGGCTAGCCATTTTTGGTTGAGTTTTTTGAGTTCTTTATATATATATATTTTTCTGTAGATATTTAATCCTCTAGATATTAAACCCTTTTCAGATGTATGATTTGCAAATGTCTTCTCCCATACTTGGTAGCCTTTTACTCTCTTGATAATGGTCTTTGATGCACAAAGATTTTGAAGCTTGATGAAACCCAACTTATCATTTTGGTTCTTTTTCCCCTGTGCTTTTGGTGTCCTGAGAAATCATTGCCAAGTCTAGTGTCACGAGGCTTTTCCACTGTTGTCTTCTAGCAGTATGTTTTAGCTCTACCTTGACACTTGGAGATCATTTTTGTGTGTGGTGTAGGGACGGGGCCAGCTCCATTCTTTTGCATGTGAATATCCAGTTTTTCTAGCACCACCTTTTGAACCCTTTGATCTTCCTCTTGTTCTGCTGCCAGCAGGCCTTCTGCTCCCCAGCATGCTCTCTGGTTCCTGTCCTGCCCTCTTGTTCTGCATCCTGCCAGTCCACCATCAGCAAATCCTGTTGATTTGGCCTCCTAAGCACAACCTAATCCCATCCCCACCATGGTGGGAACTAGTGTGGTCTTTACCTGGGCATGTCGCCACCACGTGTACTCTTGTCCCTCTCTAGCCTATTTTCCATTCTGTAGTCGGAGTGCTCTGTTTAGACATCCACAGAGACCTAAACTCCTCTCGTGGCCTTGAGAGCCCCTGTACTCCAGTCCTGCGAGGGCCCGCCTCTTCCTGCCACTCACCTCCTCCCTCCACCAGCCCAGGCTTGTGGCCATATCCTGGTATATACCAGCTCCTCCTGGAATAGAGCTGGTTGTAGGTGCGACAGTTGCTCTTCCTGCATCTGAGGCCTGCTCCTTGCCGCCTGCAGCCTTGGGCAAGTTGCTGCTGGTTTCAGTGCCTGCTGCTCCACCACAGCAGGGGTGGTACTCAAAACGGGAGCCTGGGGAGCAGGGAACACAGGGCTTTGGTGGGAAGGTCTGAGACCTGCTCTTTCCTGTGGTTCAGGCCCCCACCCCACCTACCCATCTCAGACAGCACAGCCCATGTTTAAGGGAAGGTGGCCCACCACACTAGCACAGCTGTGGCATGCATCACATCAAGCCACCTTATCCTCTTCCAAGGTTGCTCTTGTCTATACGTGGGGTAGATCCAGGACCCAGCCCCTGGCTCAGGCTGGAGAAAACGCATTCAGTTGTCTAACCCATTTATCTAAGCCGAACCGCAAAACAAGGAACCTTACAGTATTGTAGGACCAAAGCTCATGTGGCCCCTGTGCCAGCCGTTTATCTCATGCCAGCAGTTACCTTGGTGGTTCCAGATATTCTAAAACCAGCACGCAGGGCTCCCACATTCCTTAGAACAAAAACACATTACGGACTCTTGATTTCAGAACCACCTTTTTTCCTTACAATTGAAGAGAAACGGTGATATGAAGTGCGCCAATCTTCAGAATACAGTTTTGACGTGTGTAAATACAACATGTTATGGTTTGAATGTGAATTGTGGCCCAGAAGCTCCTGTGTCGACACAGGAACGATCAGAGGTAAAATAATTAGATTATGAGAGCTGTAATCTCTTCAGTCCGTCCTAGTTTGAGTGGTAACTGCAGGCAGGTGGGTCACAGGTGAGCCCCGCAGGGTGCATCTTCCCGTTCCCTTCTCCTGCCCCCTGCTTCCTGGCCTCCCTGAGCTGAGAGCTGTCCTCCACGGGCCCTTCCCCATGGCATGCTGCTCTCCAGGGCCCAGAGCAGTGGAGCCTCCGTCTGCACTGAGACCTCTGAAACTGCAAGCCCCAAATAAACTTGCCTCCTATAAGTTCTTGGTGTTTTGGTCACAGCAACGCAAAAACTGTCTAACATACAAGGGTACGTGTGCACGTGTGTCCACGTGGTTGGAAGGCTACCTGTTTGTACATTCACACACGTGCAGCATTTGGAGGCACTGCCCTCGTTTAGCCTGCTCCCTGATATTTGAATTGTTACCAGTTGTATGTTAGAAACAAAAGCATGATTAATATCCTCCGGCTGCCTTGTGCATACCCGCAATACTGCTCATCTTGGCCGCCAAGATAGCTTTCTAATTGCAAAATCCAGAAGTACTGAAGTTCAACTTTTTTGGACTGTATTTGACACACCTGACCTACACTGAGTTGAGCCCATTCATCTCCATTCCACCAGGGTCTGCTCATAGATTTCATAGAGGTGCATCTACCTGTCCAAGTGGACCCCGCTGCATGTGTTAAATAATATATGAGGAGAGCCATGAATTACCATCCGTAAATCCTAGATCAGAAAACAAATTGGCCTCAGAGATGTCACAGAAGGATTCGTGGAACTGATTATTATTAGCCAAGAGTAACTGAGCTTGAGCACACGTGCCAGGTCTGTGCTAAACGTTTTACAGAGTTTATGCCAGTTTATTCTCAGTCCAGTTACCAAAGTGGTTACTTTGGAGGGAAGTGGATCATAGAGATCCAGACCGGAGTCTGGGGTCACACCCTTTGTCCTCCAGTGTGGGTGGCTTTGCAGGGTCCTTTGCCTGTCCCCACTTCACACCCTCATCCATACAATGAGAACCAGGAGTTGTTGGGGCTAAATGCATTCACAAGGGGTGACGGTGCGGTCCCTGGTGGGACTCGGTATCTCCAGTGCCTGTGTCCCTGTAGTCCTCGGGTCAGCTGGTGGAACAAGAATGGAACAGGCAGCTGCTGGAGAACAGGGAGTCAGGACGGCCTGACCGAGTACGACACAAGAGCACATTTGCCTTTGTGTAACAGTATTTGAAATAAAGGTGTGCACATATGGATGTGTGTCTGCACGAGAGACGTTTCCTGTTGCGAGGAAGGCTGGACAGGAGGCAGTTCCAGAACACGGCAGCTCCACATATAACCTAGATGGTTTCTCTATCTTCCACAGAAGGAAGGGGCATCCTAGGGTCGCCTGTCAGAGCCAGAGTTGGAACCTCCCCTCCCTCTTGCCTAGCTCACAGCAGCCTGCAGTTAGGGACACACCCAATGTCCTCAGAAGGACTGTGTGCACCAGGCCAGTCTTGGGAAGATAAGCTGCTCACCCCTTACTTTAAACCCTGCTCTGCCTGCTGCCAGGGAGGCAGGTATCGCCTGACCTCGACATTCCCCTGGGTCCCCCTCCTGCTTCACTGTCCCGCTATTTTGAAGAAAAAGAGAGTCCCCCAAAGCCACCTCTGTTATGCTGTGAGGTGTCATTGTAACAGGTCCGAGACTGAGGATGCTTCTCCCAACATTCTGTTGGGGACCAGGTGACTGG